CTTTCCCTGTGTCCACGTCTCTATCAAGCCAACCACCTTAGCCATGGCAGTCGGCCGTCTTCTGGAGAGACCTTGCTGTGCTTCCAAGCAGTCAGAATTACCCCTCCTCCTCCCTTCCCCATGATCCTTTAGCTTGAAGGTAGCCGTCGATTTGTGGTCTGAAACCACCTTCCTTATCTTCTATCACCCCCCGACTTCGCCGTCTTTTCAAAATAATCCATATTAATCCAGATCTCTCAAATTTATTCCAGTCTAATCCAAGGTTAATCCTGATTAATCGAGATTATGCATGTCCATCCACATCATTAGTCCATAATAATCCAGATTAATAAAGAAGCGTACCGTTGCGTGTCTGTTCATAGTAGTGCTCTGTGTCTTTCTTGTTTTTTTCATTCTCTTTTCTGTTTTTTTTTTTCCTTTCTTGAAGTCTGTGACTGGCATGCGTCGGACGAAGGGCAGGCATTCCGCGCTCTTCTTTTGGAAAATTTCTTCAACCAAAATGCGCCGCACAGCTGCGGTTCGTCTTTACAAGCTCCGTCGAAAGATCATAAAGCACACATGAAAAGATAACGGAAGATAACGAAAGCACACTGGAAGTTGTACTTGCACGGCGGAAGATTAGGAAGCACGAAAAAAAGGATTTTCAAAATTCATTTTGGCAGCCCCTGTCGTCAAACCCTAACCCGCATTTCGTTGTGGGGAGACCCTGATCATCGCGTTGCCCCTGTCGCCTTGTTGTCATTAGTCATGCTTGTCCCGTTGAAAAGGCGTGCAAGTGCTGCAGCAGCCCCCGCACCCCTCCCCCCTGTCGCCAACACCCCTCGCCCCCCGGCGGGCCCCCCACCCGCTGTTCCCTCGTCAAACCCTAGCCGCATGTCCGGCGACGGCAGTCCTCCCCTCCCTTTGCCCAAGATGCCGACGAAATTCGATCCTAGGCAGATCACTTAGTTTTTTTTTTCCCGTCCGCATGGCCCTCGGAGAGGTAGGTGCTGCCTCCTCTCGCTTCCTCAAGAAAGATCTGTCCTCTCCGTCTTTCTCCCAAGAAGGTAGGTGAAGACATTGGCAAGGAGACAGGGAAGGAGGAGTGGGAATCCCTTCTCTTCGTGTCGCAATAGCTTGTAGTGTTCGGTCTCGCCAGCGCTCACAAGAGCGCCGACGTGCGACGACGTCATTTTCTGACTGACAGCGACCGAACACAGAAAATCGATAGGCGTCTAGATCTGCTGCCTTCGAGGAAAAAGAGGAAGAGGGGGATGGAGAGGATTGCAGAAGGGCATTGAAGAAAGAGGAGGGTATATAAATATATGTATATACATCTTTGTGACAATTATATGACACCTTCGGAAACTTCATCAGAATTGTGCATATGCATGAGATCCTGAAGGCTACTAAGTTGCGCCATGTGTTGCATTCTCCGGATGTGTGTGCATTACACCCCGACCCCCAGGCAGCTAGCAGCATTCGCATCTGTGACAAACTCGTGCCCCCAACAAGGGTACAATTCTGTAATTTTACGGAAGTGGCCTTGAGTGTCACTCCGGACCTGTGCCTACCTGCTGCTGMTGATTGCCCTTGTCGTCGGGCGTTTCCTAACTGCACCGATCTGGTTGACGGCCATGTTGTTTCCGCCAACTATGATCTGATTCCGGATGCTAACCTTCGTCGCCTGTTCTATGAGGGCTCAAAATATCGGCTGAATGGGGTCGTGGGAGATATACTTGAAGCATTGGCTGTTGGTATTGATGAGTATATTGCTGCGTATCTTCGTCCAACAGCACGACAATCCTGTGCTGCTACCCTAGCCCCACAATTGGCTAATTGGCGTGCTGCAGTCTTGCGTCACTGTGAGTGCAACATGACTACCGCATCACCATTGCGACAGCCTCGCTCTTTGCGGCACGCGCATA